GGAGACGACTGCTCTACCCACTAGTGTGGTTATCATATCAACTTTAAGGATTTAGTGTCTGCAAAAATAAGCTGTGACAACACTATATATACTATATATATATATATAAAATATATATATGTGTGTGTGTATCAGATCAGGTGATCAGCGATCTGAGTCCAATACACAATTACTTCAAAATGGGTCTGATGGTAACACTGATCACCATCATTTATAATTAATGCTGAAAATTACCTTTGATTAAACTGGGAAAATGACACGGGGTTAAGAGCCACCTAGCTGACACCATGTAGGAACATCTAGGCTGTTTGTCATAACCACAGCAAACGGAACTGTATGCTGTGGAGAGAAAACTAGTATGCCAAATACAGTAACATCTCTTAAATCTTTCAATTCTATTTCAGCAGTATCTGTTAGTATCACCACATTTTACACAATGTGGTCAATTACGGTGTATGATCTTTAGTGCTTGTGAGTCAAATAAATGAAGAGCTATGTGTTAAAAACCTAGTTATGACATACAGTACCAGCCCCACACAGATGGACAGAAGGCAAAAGTCAACAAAAAATAAGATAACTTTTTTTTTTACTGTCTTGAAAATGCTGAATTCTGAATTTGTTTACATACATTGCTTATATTGTAGTTCACCACATACAGTATCCTGCAGAAGACTGGAAACAGGGAAACTAATATTTAAGTAGAAAACATTTTGGTTAACTCATGAGAAATATGAATAATCAATGACAGAGTGAACACTGCATGTCAAAACTGAGCATTAAGGAAACAGAAGGTCGAATGAAAATTATGCAAAAATAGGATGAAAATAGCAAAGATGGAATCCTTGCAGTGAAGTTTTAAGGACGGAAATCTATCTGTACTTTCTGCAGCAAAAACAAAATGCATACATATATACAGACACTGTAAATAAAGTCAGGTTGGACTGGACAAAAAAGCCAAAACAGCACATAAACAGAACTCATCTATAAAACTTGGGGCATATAAGCTTATCCACAAAGTGCCCAAACATAGCACAGGGTCCTGTTTGTAGACACTGTTAAGACAGAAAACACTGTGTATGTTAAGGCTGTTATCTCTAAAATCATTACTAAATAAAACCTGCACTTTTTGACTTTTCTCTTAATGATTATTTGGATGATACAGATCATTTCAAAAACATATCAAGCAATTATAATAGAATAAAGATGTATACAATCAAAAATCAAAGGCACAAATTAAGTAATTTCTTTGACAAGAAATTAGCAGAGGCTGGTGTTGGCGAATATGGCTATAACTCTCTTCTAAAAATAAATGTGTGCTAAAAACAGTCAAGCAGCTCATTAAAAACAGGCCTGAATTGCTACAGAGATTCTTTAATCATATTAAGATATATCTTTAGAAAGGAGAAAAGCTGTAAACTGTGTGAAGTTTGTCAACACCTGTTGCATAAAAAAGCAATTTCAAGTTCTGAGCAGCATGCGCTTGACTGAAGAGCTTTGGACGGCTAGATCATTTTCTAAGGCTTAGCTATTTCTTTGTGTGTCCCTAGTAACACTGCTCAAACGTGAACACTGCTGGAGGAACAGGGCAGTCCAGACTGGGGCAGTTCTACTTTCTCCACATCGTCTGAGGTAGAGTGTGTCACAATTCTGTAAAGGAAAAATCATCAGCCCACATCAGTTTATAATGGTGTGCTGTTTTTCCTAAAGGTCTCTGAGTTTTCCAGGAGCAATCTATCACTGTCAGCACTAACAGACTGATGACCAACATGTTCCGATGGTTCACTGACTCTACCTGGAGCCTTCAGGGGGATGTACGACAAAAACCAAATACGGTTAACACACGGTTGTTCTTTTGGTAATTAGACCGACAACTTTGGCTTTTTTCATTTCAAAACATTTTGGTCTTCAGTAAATGAAACTGGCTTCAAGCCAGTGCTCTTCAATTACATTGTGACATTCTCCACCAAAACTAAAAAAATAAATAACAATATGAAAACATAACCACCTCTCCGTAAGGGTTAATAAAGTGGGCACAGAGTTTAGGATTAACTTGACTTAACCTATGGTCACATAGTCAATAATTAGTCAAACTCATGTCATTGGTTTCTTTTCAAGCAGTGGAGATTTAGCCTTTGGAACAGTACTGCACACGCAACAGTATAATGTGTTTTTATTTTTTGGTCCTTTTAAGAAGTCATCCATCCAAGCAGGGGATCTGTTGCTGATACAGCGGCGGCTGCTTTATGACCTGGACCTTGTCAGTTAGTAGCACAGTCATCACATTATACGTTTTTTGTAGCACAGTTAAAGTATATTCACTCTATTTTGGACCAGATAAAAAAAGAACATACTTAAAGCCCAGTCTCACTGCTGTTTGTTTTAGAACAAATAGTGCTTAAAATCAATTAATGTACACTTCAACATAAACACAATGTTAATATGTTCCTTAGATACTGCTATTTATTTTCTTACCTGAAAGCGGGTGTATTTGTACTGGCTACGTGTTAAAGGAATACTTTGACATTTTGGGAAATACTAGCCAAGAAATTGTTTTCACATGTCTATTTTTTAACAGCTTCAACTAAAGAGATGTAATATGTTAATTAGTGAGTCTAATTTAGATAGAGCCAGGATAGGAGTTTATCACTGTTTTGGTCCTTATACTAGGTCCTCAAATATTTAACAGATAATATGAGAGTGGTATCCATCATATCTAACTATTGGCAAAGAAGCAAAAAGAATATTTCCCTAAATGCTAAACTATTCTTTTGAAGGTGTGAACGCAGAACACTGAGGAGGTTTCTCATGCACACAGTTTGACTGCAGCTGCCTTTTTGAATGAACCACTCACTGTACAGTCGGGGCTTGTGAAATAAGTTGGTATGGACGATTAATGTGCCTAAAGCTACTTCCACTGAAGTCTCCGTGTACCTTCACAGCTCACGATGACTAGCAACGACATCCAAATTTTGAAATCTCTCAGTGCACTTCTCTGAGGTTAATGTGTCTGCAATACTATGTAGAGATGATCTTGATATTGACAGTTTTGGCATACCTACAACTGTTTGAACAAGGTGGCCTGTTTGAGGGCACACAGGAGACAACAATAAAGGTGGCAGGTTTCCATGGAGGTGTTTAGCAGACCCGCTGGCTCAGTCAAGACTCTGTTACTGCACAGGACTGGTTTCTTTTCTTATTTCAATAAGTCTTCTTTTTTTGCCATATTTCTATCTGAAAGTACTGTAAATGGTAGTGCTCCAAACGGATTGTGAAGAGTATAAACAGCATGCAAGTCCACCTTAAGAAAATGCCATCAGAAAGTGATGGACACACTGGTTTTATACGGTGGATCTACAGCGTTCACACTGCATTTACAATTAGTCCAGCATGCCTTCTATTTGTTGTGACAAATATGAAATGTGCATTTTTTTTCCTCATTTTCATTCAAGCTTCAAGTTTGCCTGCTATAAGATTAGTTCCATCTGATTTCAACACTGTAATGCATAGGTCTTCAGGATTACATTCATATTAAAGTGTACTTCAAACCTGGCTATCTGATATGTTTCACTGCTTTGGCTTGACTTTTTCCTACTGAGCGCAGTCATTACAATCTAGGCTTACACACACACACACACACACACACACACACACACACACTTTATCTTTATGCTGCCGGTGAGCAGCAATCTCAGTCTGACCCAGTGTGTGTCTCTTTCGGTCTGCTTAGAGGATGGATTCTCCAGTTTTGCATTGTGTGTCTCCCTGAGGCTTCTCATGCTCCAACATCTTCTGGGTGGCATCTTGCTCCTTGTTTAGGGCCTTTTCCTCCATCCTCCTGCGCCTGGCCTCCACCCACGGTATCAGACACAGCACGGCTCCACCGAAGATTGGGGGGATACCTGCCAGGTAGAAGGCTACATCGTAGCTACCCAGTCGGTCCCTCAGGAAGCCTGCGAGGAGAGATGAGGAGAAAAGGAACTTGGGATGTTGGTTTTCACTGGGTCAGAAAAAGACAGAAAAACACACCTCCTTTTAGTGCAGCTGCTGTGTGACATGTTAAGTCAGACACAGTTTATCACTTGTGGTTTGACTCATAATCACAACACTGACCAGACTGGTGGCGGTGAAGCTCATTAATAAGAAGGATTATCTGAAGGGTTAAGCTGCAGCTGCAGAGATAGCCTCTCCACTCCGAGACCTTCTCCACCCTACATACAGTATACTGCACGACAAAACTGTGCAACATCACTAAAATATTAAATGGTGAAAAAGTCTACCATCTTACAAAAACTGTTATTTTAAGTTGAAATGCAGGGATTTGATCAAACAAACAGGTCTGATGGATTATGATGAGGTGTCAGGCCACACAGTACAACCTTGGGGCAACAAAAGGGAGTACACCTGTCAATCCTGGTCCAGTAAATGTTACTGCACAAAGGTCAACTGTGGAAACTGGAGTCTGAGTGATGGATCACTGGTTACAAAATGGCGCAAAACTGCAACAATGCACCTAATGAACACTGGCAACACATACAGAACGTTGGTCAGATGAAATCAGAATAAATGAGTTTGGATCGGGTCCGGCATGTTTGATGTGCACCTGGCCGGGACTACCACAGGAACTACACAGCGCTGTGCGTGAAACCTGGAGGTGGGGCCGCGTTGATATGGGGCTGCATGAGTGCAAGATGTGCAGGTGAGATTTAGACTATGTACAAACAGGACTATAAATGCACGTTAGGATACCCAAATACCGAATGAAAAGATGACTTTTCCAATGGGACAGTGATCCGAAACACAGACTCACCAAGCCTGGCACAACACAAAGCACAACCCGATTCATTTTCTATGGGACACAAGTGAATATAAGGCATTGCGTTATTCCAGGTGGCAAAGCAACTAAAGAGGAATTTCAAGATTTTAACTGTGCTAAATGCTTAGTCTGCCAGTGACAGTCAGACTGAAGTCAACTAGAAACACTAGATTTTGTCTGAATCTTTATACTGGCTGACAAACAACTAAGTTTGGATTGCAAAGCAGCTGTAGTGGAAGAAAGGCTAATTGAAGTCTAAATAGGTCCTGCCGCATGTAAACACAAGAAGTAGGTTACCACAATCATCTCTGACACAGACATAACTAGACAGCACTCAAAGTGTGCAGCATCCATTAAGGGGCACCTCAGTTCCCCATAATGCCATAACAGCAGTATTCCCATGATAGTTTAACCCTCATAATGTGATTGCTCGACCATGAAAACCTACTGCTGGCATTTGGAATGGCGCCGATATCATTGTTAGTTTGGAAGTTATTCAAGAAAAACAATAGACATGACAGATATGCACTTGCTGGTTTAGGGGATAAAAACTTCAGTGAGTGGACTGTGGGCAAAGTGGTGATGACGTTACATGTCTCCAAGTCTGTGTTCTGCTTGTTCAACAGCTGTTAAACTGCTCATAGAGTCAAACTGCTCATCGAGTCTCTGTTACCGACTGACTGTTGCACTATGGAGTGATACTTCACATCCTGTGCTCTCCCTCTACCCAGCTGTGAGCGTCTCTCTCCTAAATACAGACTATCTTGGAAAAATACAGTGGAAAAGCAAAGTAGGACGTCTGTGTCAACCTGTAATATTATGCCAGGTGACAATAAAAACCACAGGGTGTACAACTCGTTAGGCTCTGACAGTGGAAACACAGCTTCAAATTTAATCTATTGTTTTGCGGGCCATACCTCACCTCAAAACATGCAATTAAAATCCATTTATTACGTTTTTAGTTATGCTGTTAACAAACAAACATCAGCAAGGTAAGAACTGTGAACATACAACGCATCTCTAATTTACACCCTGCAAATTCAGCAACTATAAGGTGCCAAAATAAACACTAGGTGGTGCCACAAACATCTTTATCTCAGGGGTGTTACTAGAATGATGCAGGAGTGTTTCTGTAGCAGGCAGCGGACCTGAAAAATGCCACCTTGCAGCAAATAAAAAGACTTTCCTAATAAATATTTTAAAATTATTTCACCTACAACAGTAATTTAGCCCTAACATTTAAAATATATTTGTGATAATTATGAAAAGACTCACTTTACTACACAGTGTATGTTACCTGCAACGGGGGGCCCCACAGTCATGGGCACAGACATGAGACCCAGCAGGAAGCCAATGGCCTGGGACACATCTTTGGCCCCGACCAGGTTGAAGGCTATAGGGGCCATGATGCAGATGAAGCAGCCGTCAAACAGCCCCATCAGCAGGCAAACAGCGATCAGCCCGCCAAAGATGTTGCACAGAGGGATCATCATAGACATGAGGCCAATGACAAAGAAGGAAACCACCTGGGAGGGGGTGAGAGATGCAAACTGTTGGTTTGATGGTTTAATAGTAATGAAATAAAAATGAAGTTTCCATATCAGGGTACAGTTTCCTTTCAAGTTCAGGTTACCGGTAGTCTGAACTGTAGTATCATATGACCACACCACTGTACTGTTTACATTCTCAGATTGCACATGCATAATTGCACATTGACTGTTGACTATTGCACATGCAGCTCCCATGCAGCATACATTCTCTTATTATATTCTTATATATTTGTATTATATTGCTGCATTTGCTGCTTAAAGTGCCTTAGATTTTGTGTCACTTATTCATCTACTTTATATTTCATTTGTATTGTGTGGCATTCGTGTGGACAGCAAGTAAGAATTTCATTGTACAGGGAAACACGTTTCTTGTAAATGGTAGCTGCATATGACAAATAAACACTTTGACCTTTGACATGATTATCTAAATGCTGTTTCACAGGTTTTCCATATAAATATAGAGAATAAAAAAAGTTGAATGTCAGCATAAACTGGTGCCAATTATCAGTGGTTGCTCTTTGCAACTTCACTGCAAAAAAAATTAGCCTCCAAAAACCCATTCTGGTTGAACTGTTACCCCATATAAATTGGACAGCACAGAGGTGCCTACCACATGGACTTTGCATACGTTTTTGGGACTGTTGAGACACTCACCTGCAGGTACACTTTGTTGACTCCTTCAACATAGTCTGCCACCCTCCCGAAGATGAGACGTCCCACACCAGACGTGATGCCAATGCACATGAGCAGAACCTCTTTATTGGCATCTAGTCCAAAACGCTCCTCTACGTGCTGCATCTGTTGGCAAAATGGACGAACATACAGCAGCTGTCTTATGGCATCCAGAGAAGAAAACATTTTAATCATGTAGAAGAGGAAACTGCAAATATGAATGCACTGGTGGAGATGACCTGAGCTTGATTTTTTTTCAGAGAAAATTTGACAAATACTGTCAATACACAACACCACGAGACAAATCAGACACAAAGTAGTCAGCACACAGACACACTAACTGAAACAATCACAAGGTAGTAGAGTGAAAGTAGAACTGTAAAGTACAGTAAAAGGGTCCACAGTACTGGAAACCAGTCATTCCCAGTTCTAAGTTGGTATGAGGAGCTGCCCTGTCTGGTGCCATGCTTGTTTACTATGAACAGCTGCAACTTAGCAGCACAGTAAGTTCTTAGAAATGACAATGCAGATAAGCAGAGACTTGTAAATGTCAGTGATGGCTTTCTGACGTTTTCACAGGGCTCACACAGCTGAGTGTGACAGGAGCCACGTGCTAACAATATGGTGGATTGTATGGGGTTTTTGTAGAACCTTTAGTTTTTGAGGGAGGCGGTGGTCAATGTGATTTCAATTTGATTTTGAACAGAAAATATTTTGGACTGCTATTTACAGTGCTGTTTACAGTAGATCAAAGAAGCAACAATAAAGCTCCATGCTCTTGTGGAATGTTTCTTTGAGTTCAGAACAAACTTTAAATGAATAAAAGAGGTCAGAAACCTGGGTGTAATTATAAGTGAGGTTTTGACATGTGTTGCAATGTTGAAGACAACTTCTAATTCCAAACAGTCCTCAGGTTTCCAAACAGAGTGGTGCCTCCCCCCTGCTCTGGACTCTGTCTTCCATTTCTCAGGCAGGAGTCTGTTGATGCTACCATGTCAGATCACTATTTCAGCATTCCCAATTTTCCTTCTGCCTGTTGGTGCCAGTAAATGCTAGTTTCCAATTCAGACTGTGAGAACAGCAGCCCAGATGTTCATTTCCCACACGGCTAGCTGTATCTGTGTCCCTCCTACCCAAAAACACCAAACTGAGGCCCAGAGTTTGAGAGAGCCAGATGGGCATGATATATAGGGTGCTGTCAACTACTTCAACCTCTAGGCAGACTGCAGCTCAATGAGCCTTTCTGTCTGCTACCTCCACACCCCACCCATCGCCCCTTATCCCTGCTGCAGTCACATCCTCTGGACAACGTAGCGTCTTTGTAAACACACCACATGGACACTTTCAGCTGCTTCTGTATTCAGAAGCGTCCTGCTGGTGGGGATTCCTGCATCTGAGAAGCAATGCTGCAGGCATGACAGCTGGAGGTTTAGCAAGTGTGTATTCATGCATTAATCAGCAGAGTAATGATACGCACACTCACTTGAGGCTAGGCCTTGAGTAGGTGGTTGATGATTGGCATTATCCCAGCTGGGGTTCTGTTTGAAAGGTTCACTTGCTAGATTTAATGCTCACTCTTAGCTTCTCATTGTCACTAACAGACAAAGTACTGGTGTTGGGCTAATGGTACCATGGTCTAAGAAAGGAGGTAGGACTAGATAAGTGTATACTTCTTCCTACTCCCTTTCAAGCATGTACTATTGGAATGTTGTGATGTCTTATGTGTATTGGTTGAAATGTCGAATCAATTTTGTTTTTCACAGTGTCACTTTTCTTAGTTTTACATGCCTGGAAGAAAAAAAAAAATTAAATAAAAAGCTTGACAATCAGTGGTGTTCCAACAATGGAGATAATTAATGAATAAACACTGCTGCTTGCTAATGCATTTTCTTCACCAGAAAAATCACAAAATATGAAAAAAAAACACATTTATATATTCTGTTTTATAGGCTCCTGATCTCTCCTGTAATCATCCAACATCTATCCTTCCATCCATTATCTATACCGCTTATTCCTGAACAGGGTCACAGGGGGCTGGAGTTCCTGTAATCATGCTCTAAGCATTTACCATTTGAAATCAACATAGAACATTTTAAACAACAAGAAATATTACTATTTCTTCAGACCAACACTTGATCTATCAGGCAAAACATCTCTCTGTGGTGATGTCATTTTATGAAGATAAACATCATAAGTTCAGGAGCAGAACCACGCCTTAATATACACACCTTTTCTTGTCACCTGCCTACAAATACCCAGCACTCGTGCTACCAAGTACTTTGGTTTCTCGTAAATGGTAGCTGCAGTTTTGTCCTCATGAGCTGTTTCTCTACAGTTTTACTTTACTTTTGCCTGCTCACCATTTGGGCTGGTCATGGACTCCATCTCCCTTTTGACTTCAAAAGACAAGGTGCTGTCCTTTGGACAGGGCCTGGGTCTTTACCAAGTATTATCAAAAATACATGGAATTTGACTCCAGCCCCAAAGTGCACAAAAAAAAAAAAGAAAAAAACAAAAACCCCAAATTAAAAAAAAAAAAAAAAAAAAAAAGACAAAAATCTACACATACATATATACAAGTTAGAAGAGCTACTGTAGATTACTGTAATGGACACCTACACGTTGTTGAACAGTTATATGTACAGCGTCCTGCCATGCCAATAAATATAGACTAACTGTTCATAACCGCCACCTTATTGTGGTGGAGGGGTTTGAGTACCCGAGTGATCCTAGGAGCTATGTTGTCGGGGGCTATATGTCTCTGGTAGGGTCTCCCAAGGCAAACAGGTCCTGGGTGACGGGTCAGACTAAGAGTGGTTCAAAAGCCCTTTATGAATAGGCTAAAATCAAGGACCATGACGTTGCCCGGCATGGCGCAGCCAGGGCCCCACCCTGGAGCCAGGCCCGGGG